TGAGTTAATAATAATTATTATATTAATAATAACAATAATTATAACAATAATACTACTAATAATAATATGTCTTGTTTACCCAGGGTAGCCTCATCAGTATTCATACTGTTCTCGCTGAGGGCCCTGCAATCATATTATTACTCCGGTCATCGGATTCAGGCTTACCGGCACACAATGTATTTGTGCACACAATGAATTTGACATTCGATACTCTGGGCAAAAATTTTGGAACACCTTACCATCTATTCTACACAAATCGCTCTCCTTACAGACTTTTTCCTGTAAGGCAAACATGTATTTAATTGCTCGATATTGATACCGTCTCTTGTATTTATGTGTGAAATGATCTTTTGTGGAATTTAATGATATGTATGTATGACCGATTATTTATTTATTTTAATAACTTGTTGCTAGTACCATCTGTATATTCCCAGGACAATGCTGTCGGATAAAGCTGTTGTCTGTTTGATGATTTTGCTTGTTTTAATGATATGTACCCGCTGTCTATCAACGTTCTGTTATATACAATGTAATTTTCATAATAATATCTATAATGTTCTTTCGGTAACTGTGTTAATTTATCATGGGCGTTCCCAACTCAAGCTATGCTTTCCGGGTTTTCGCCTCCTTCCGTATCTGAATTATCTACTGTATACTCTATGTTGAAATAAGTGTTACATATATCATGTATATATACATTGTGTTTTATATTGTGCTGTTGAGAAGGAAATAAATGTTAATAAATACAAAATACAAAATGTATGCCCATTTTCCACTCCCTGTGGAGCATTCCAGCCAGGCGTCATTTTACGAGCGCGCACTTGCTAATCTAAGCATATTAGCTTTCGCATCCTACCAATAATATTATATAAGATATGTAAGGCTCCAAATCCTCTTGACATGAAAGGTAAATGGGTACCCGGTCGGACGACATTCCCTGAGTGCTCTTTCATGGTAGCTCGGGTAACGCGAGGGGTAGAATATGATTGTAGGACCCCCGGGGAGAACAGTATTAATACTGATGAGGCTGTCCTGGGTAAACAAAGTCATAATTATTATTAATTGTATTATTATTACGCTAGCACACGCTGACTTGGCAATCCCCCCCCCCCCCCCCCTCACCACCGGAAATCCTTCATCGGCCGCTTGATAGCACTTAAAGCCATTTTGTTAGATCTCCTATCTCTTTATACCTTAGTTTAACAAGTTGTTATCTATTCTTATTAGCACTAATTCGTCATCGTTATCATCGTCGCCATTATCATCGTCATCATTATCATCGTCATCACTGATAGTAATAATAATATCATCATCATCATCATTATCATCATCATTATCATCGTCATCTCTAATATCATCACCATCACTATAATCATCATCATTATCATCATCATCATCGTCATCACTAATCTCATCACCATCACTATTATCATCATCATTATCATCTTCACCATCATCATCATTATCATCGTCATCACCAATATCATCATCATCATTATCATCGTCATCATCATCATTATTATCACCGTCATCATCTCCTCAATTCACTAATCCTTCTCCAGACACGTCAGATGTGGAATATTTGTGCGTTCATGTTCTCCCGTCGCCGCCTGATGGCGCTCGTCACTTAGTTGCCTCGCTAAACATTGGATCAAGAAAATGCCAGTGCAATCTTTGTCAATAGAATGCATAAACTATTTTACGAAACAAAACAAAATGCAAAGAAACGAAGAGTTTTACAATTATCCGTTATTATTGTAATCATTAATTAATTAGTTTTTAGTAATCAGTAATTATTATTCAATTTTCAACAAAAAAATGTCATGTTTCACCATTGGGTATTATGGAGAGACATTCATGATTTAAATAATTCCACTAACTTAGATTTTTGCTTCTTTTTTTAAAGACCAGTTCGAGTTGAATAATTTAGGATAAAATCTGACGAATCGTGGCATTAGACTTTATATTTTTAGCCGATAGTATCGAAATAATTAATTTGTCGCTGATCATTGTTTTGCAAAACGGTTTATCCACTTCCTGACATCTCCGTAGGTCGCTGGCAAAGATATGGTTTCACGAAACGCCCATCGCTACAGTGCATATCCAAACACTAAATTTGGGGTCAATAAATTATGTGTATACAAAGTTCAGGGATGCAGGGAGCAAAGTGCAGTTTAGTTCTGTCTGCTACGAGTAGCAATAAATACATATACTATAATTCGATTCAGTGGACGCCGAAAATATCACAATGGAATGCCTTTCATAAAGGGGAAGATTTTATTACGCGAGCACGTACGTTACAGTCATAACATATGATACATGTAAGTTTTAGGAACTAGTTATTTGGGGTATTAGTTTTTTTTTCATTCCAGATAGCAAACATTAATATATCTCTTTCTTCTTGCATTATTGTTTCAACAATACATACTTTATAACCATGTTTCATATATTAGATGTTGAGCTACAAAGTTGCGTTCGCTGGATATAGTGAGGAATATAGGTATGTGATTACAAAAATCAATAGTTTTAGATTATATCGAATAAAGGAAGTTCTGTAATCATATTTTGTAATAAAAGTACCTATACATACACGAAACGTTTACATAAATGGGTCGACGTACGTTTAATTTAAAGCTCACTGGGGACTCCAACATATAATAGCAGTCAGAATTTAGATAAACATTTTTGTTAAAGTAAGAGAGAGGAGATAACAGATGAATGGTTAAAATATAATTTGAAAACTATGTGCGCAGTACATTCCATTTTCCCTCTATAATACCTAGCCTCCGTTTGTGCAAAAATTGACTAGAAATCAATAATCGACCATGCCAACTCTATACTAATGATGTAGGCCTATCACAAGGTGTGACACAACTAGCCGTATGAATGGTCCATATGTACATATTTACGAATTGCAGGAAAACCGATCAAAATTGTGGAAGTTAGAATTTCATTTTCATTAGTAATCACACCCACTCGTTGTCATTTGTTGCAAATAATAATAATGCTCACGGTCATTACGTGGGAAAGCATTACATTTGGGTCATCATAAGCACAGTTATTACTGAGTCTATTTCCTCAATAAAACGCAAATAGTCACGAGACTCGTTTATTGTTACTACAGCGATATACTAAGGGCCCCCATTTTTACAGCGCCCCCCCCCCCCCCACACTCACATTTTCTATCCGCTTCAGTCTACTCCTAGTAATCATGCTGTCTTAGTAATTTTATATTTCTCCACCCCCTCCCCTCCCCCCCCCCCCCCCCTCTCTCTCTCTCTCTCTCTCTCTGTCTCTCTGCCCATCTCTCTCACTGCCTTTCCTTTCTCCTTTTTTTTTGCCTCTCTCCTTTTCTCCTTTTTTCTATCTTTTTCTGTCTCATTCTCTACCCTACTCTCCCCTCTATCTCTCTCTCTCCCTTTCTCTCTCTCTCTCTCTCTCTCTCTTTTCTTCCCCGTCTCTCTCACTGCCTTTCCTTTTCCCTTTTCTCTGCCTCTCTCCTTTTTCCTTTTCTTTTCTCATTCTTTCTTCTCTCTCTGTCTCATCATAGACCTACTACGGTCCATGGTCTCATTCATTATCATGTTCTCCCCCACCTCTCTCGCTCTCTCTCTCTCTCTCTCTCTCTCTCTCTCTCTCTCTCTCTCTCTCTCTATCTCTCCCTTTTTATCGTTTATCACACTATGTGCTACCAAGCAGACAATCTAGTTTCTTTCCAAGCCAATGCGTTCGAAATGAAACAAAGTTCAACTCGTGACTCGGAGTTCCAACTTTTTGACGCAAATCACCTGACACCAATCACGTGACATCGTACTGTTTAAAAGTTCCTATTTGCTGAAAAACGGAGAAACAGACGAAAGAAAAGTTGACCATGTCTACTTCCTTCTGCTTGTGACATTCATCAATTTGCCTGCATACGATAAACATCCGCATGCATTGAGTGAAGCTCAATCATATTTTACATCTGACGAAAAAATTTACATCTGACGAAAAATTCTATTTTCACAGGTAAGACATTTTCTTTTATTATCGTGCCATTATTTGTTTACTTGTTCTTTCAGTGTACGGGAGCTACATTTGTACAGATCCTACACAACTTAGTAGCATTTGATTTCTGCTGCTGATAATACATGATTTTGTTTGTTTAATGGGGGAGGGAGCCTAATCAAATACTGTAATAAAGATATCCGCTTAAACACACAAAATAACTTGACTATCTTTGTTCTGTTGTCGTGTAGAATTTGGTCACAATACGTATTGAAAATTAATCTGTAAGATTTCAGTTTGTAAACATTTTATAAACTATTATTATTATTTTCATTAGGCATTTAGCTACGCTATTCATAGTACACTATATTACAGCGTTTACAATAATATGCAATATAACTATAAACTATATTAGGCAATCCTCATGTATGGAATACGCTAATGTATAATGTGTTGTCAATAACTGGATTATCGATAGAGGGGTGACCGTGTATTAAAAAACAATGTTGTTCGAAATCCCCCCCCCCCCCCCTGTAACGACTGATGAAAAAATAAATAATTACTTTATATATATATCAGAAAAATCCCTTACTTTGTTTTGGTCTCAGATGATATTTTTGCATTGTCGGTAAATATAGAAATGTATTTTTTGTTGACATATTGCTTATTGAAATACACCCCTCCCCCCCCCTCCTCCTCCAAATCTTACTGTTTTGCTTACAATGAATCATTTGTATAAGCTATATACTTGTTTTATAAAGGTTAAACATGATTGAATTTTTCTTATATTCCGCTAACAGGTTGTTAACGAAAAAAAAAATACTGTAATATATTTCGCTTGATGCTTGTGGAATACCAATATTGTTTTGAAAATAGTAAATGCCAATTCCCGTGTAATATTTCCTGCGAAAAAAAATATTCACTGTGTGAAGATTCCCCACTGTCTCTACTGTCTCAATTCATGTTCTTTTCCTTTTATATGATTTGTTTTGTGTTTGTTTGTTTGTTTTTGTTAGTTTACTGAGAGACGTTGTCTTTGGAAGGAGAACACATCGCATGCCAGGATTCAATTGGTTCAAGATGAAAGGGAAAGAAGATGAAGAATCCATTATACCAGAGGCCAATATGAACCAACCAGTAGTGAGCGTATGTATCAATTTGCAATAGTACAAGTGTAGTAGTAGTAGTAGTAGTAGTAGTAGTAGAAGTAGTAGTAGTATAGTATAGTAGTAGTAGTAGTAGTAGTAGTAGTAGTAGTAGTAGTAGTAACAGTATCAGGGCAATTACCTCCTGGACAATCACCCCCCGAGTACAATTGCCCCTACCCCTGAAAATCACCCCCTAGGACAATTACCACCCCCCCCCCCCCACCACCACCAACAATTGTAGTTTACAATCTTAGTTAATATTTTCTCCATTTCTTAAGGAAGGTTATAAATTAAATGTACCATACACTCTTTCGAAGCACCTGTACAATTATGTATAGCCCTAAGCCAGTCACAGAGAATTTATCATTTCATCTGAAACCCTTCAGTTCATGCTAAATTTGATTTGTATTCAAATTTCATGTTGAAATATTTCCAAATTATTTTGATCAACATGGTGCATTTGCCATATAAACTGTGGTTGGAGCGATGGATGTGGTTAAGAGCGTTGGTGTATTATGTGGACTCATCCTTTTCAGGTTCTGAATATGGGAAGCGAATTGAACCATATTGAAAATGATGTCATTCATAGTTATACACAGTCATTGTCAGTTGACATATTCTCACCTTATCTATACCTCTCTCTCCTTCTCTCTCTCTCTCTCTCTCTCTCTCTCTCTCTCTCTCTCTCTCTCTCTCTCTCTTACACACACAAACACTTGCATAAAGAAGATATGAATATAATCTAATTGAACAATTTATCAGTATCAAACAGAAGGAAAGAAATGGGGGAAAAATTAGTCCCAAGGAATATAGCCCCCTGGAAAATTGCCCCCAGAACATTATCCCCCGAGGACAATTACCTCCGTAAGAATACCCCCTAGGACACCCCCCCCCCCCCCATTCATTAAAGGGGATTTGAGGAGGGGGTTGTCAAAGTGGGTAATTGTCGACGGGGGTGAATTTCCGGGGGGATTATTTTCACGCTGGTGATTGGCAGTGGGGTGAATGTCCAGGAAAATTGTCATAGAACCCATATTTATTTCCTTTTAGACCACTTTTACATTACAAGAGATCGGTTATTGTTTTATTGTTATGTGTTCTGCGGCGTAAAGTAGCAGAGCACCACATTGATTTCGTCAGAATGTGTCCCTTTCCCCTTTCTTGCTATATGAATTTTGTTCACTTCATATCTCATGAAATGATGAACATGGTTAATGACAATGAGATTTCCATGACGTGTACCATATGTATGATTATTGATCCTATCCAGGAATTTTTGTATTTCTGATACGTGACGTCATCTAGACGCATTTTGTTAATATATAATATTTACCATATATTTACACATCTTGTCATAAGCAACAACAAAAAACAAAACTTGATATTGAATTCGTCGCCGAGACGCAAGGATCGAGACATAACACATGTATAAACCCACTATGAAAATGTTATCATAAATTAAATGACTGTTTGAATCATCTGGAATTTGGGAGTAATCTGGATTTGATTTTAGTTTTACTTTTAATACATGAATAGTTTGCTTTAATTTACACATTTTTTCATAAACCACGTTTATAGTGTGATACGTGGGAAATAGCAACCAAGCACAAACAAAAGAAAGTACGAGAAGAGTAGTTAGGCCTATGTGACAATATTCTAAAACTATGTTTTAACTTCAAAAAGTCTACAAGTTACAACCCTTTATCTTTAATATCTCTATCCAGGCTGCTAAAGGTTTGGGCGCTTTAACTACAGGTATCTTCATCGTAGGTGAGATGGCAGGAACGGGAGTGTTAGCACTACCACGAGCTATTGTCGATGCTGGTAAGTATTTAAAGTGATACTGACCTGATGCAAGTTGCAATTTAGAAAATGTAATTTTTGGTTTTGAAGACAAAAGAAACGATGCTTTAAATTACATGGTAACTTTGATTAGGCATCAACTATTTGTTCAAAAGCTTAATAACAAAATTCCAAATTTTAGTTCTTTGAAGAAGAAAATTATCCAATATGATGAAGCCGAGAGATATATTCATTCTATATCTGGTATGTATAACAAAAAAATTACTAAATGGCAGTCACTTCAACATTTGTTTGTATGAACAAAAATTAGAGAAATGTGAAAGTATTCTGTTTTGTTTGAGTTAAGGAAAGACTTAATTTCATTGAATTGTAAAAATGTTTGTTTGACTCAATAAAATATCCTATGGAGGGTTCAAACATTTTTTTTTTCAAATTGCAAACTCAATACCTAATTTTCACTACGGAGACAGAGAACTCGATGGTAAAACCAACAACGCAGCTAGGGAAGCAGCGTGTTACAGGAACATACTGCTACAGCTCACCTGAGATGGAGCTAGAGGGGATTTTGCGATTATAGTTGGGGTTTTTATGGCTTGTTCTCTCCGAGAGACTTGGTTATGTGGATTAGCACATCAACCTGTCTTCGAACCCGGGACCTCCAGGTCAGGCGCGTACGCAGGGGGGGGGGGTTGGGGGGTGAACCCCCCTCTTGGTATTTTTATGTGTGTAAACCCTCCCTAAAACCTCCCTTAAACCCCCCCCCCCTTTGGATTTTTTTTTTTTTTTTTTAATTATAAAAAAAAAAAAAAATGCCCATGACTGACCTTAAAAAAAGTGTCCTCTTTCCCCTCCCCCCCCCCCCCCCAACACACTGAGCGATTTTTCGGCTGGCTGAGTCGTTGCAATTTTTTGGGGACCAATTTCTAGTCATATAATTATTTCAAATAAGATGGCAAAATGCGAAACCAGGACCTCTCGGACGAGAGTCGTAAACCTTCACCACTTTACCACAGTATCTTTACTGTAAATATTAGTGAAGGCAATATATACAAAAGAAACATTCGATTTAAAGTGACTCGGCAACATTGCCTCAGATTCTGAAACAAAATCCTGGATTTAGCTCATGCTGCAATAATCATTATAAACCTTAAGGTCAGTCAGGAATCCCATGACTTTTACTAACTGATTCAAGACATTTCTGGTTGGAAATCGAATATCTTTTCTCGTTTTCCTAACGGTTTTTATAAAACTACAGTCTATTGGATAATATGAGTATGGTAAAACCGGTCACTCAAAGAATTTTACTTTTTTGAGGCACTTCATGATTATTTTGACACGTAATTTGTTTAGGACTTCAATATTACACCATATCACAGACACTGATAACAAGTAGGGCCATGCATCTCAGATTTAACATTGTCAAACGATGCCTTTATTAAATGTTTACATTATATTTTGGAGAATTAAGTTAATTCAATTTTTTTCTTTCGCTTTATGTTTTCAAAGGCTGGGTTGGTTTGCCGCTGATCATAATAGCTGCCATCATGTCATCATACACGGGCGTGGTCCTAGGGCGGTGCTGGACCATCATCAAGGATAGGTTCCCAGAGAAGTACGCTGGACATACCCGATACCCCTACCCTGCTATTGGCTTCGAAGCCTATGGCAAATTGGGAAGGTAAGATATTCTGTTCATTCCTCTTTCTCTTGTCATGTGTAGCTGTCAAACGAATAGAATATAGATTTCATCTCTGCACAATTTGCTTCAAACATTTGAATCTGTCTGTGACGCTCCATACAGAAGTCGGAGGTAGAAGAGAAAAGGAAAGACGAAGGTGAGGAAGGTGACGGTGGATCCCCCTACCAGGGAGAGGATTGCTTGATTTGTATGGGGGGGGGGTTGAGTTATGCGCCTGCGCCACTTGTCGTAGCTCTGCATACGTTGGCATAGTCCAGCCTCCAGACCGTTTCCGTGTCGCGCGCCCAATCAGCTGATAATACACCTTGCCATTCCTCTCATTCTGTTCGACGGTACTTTGGGGGGTCGCGCGATGAGTGGAATAGAAAAATTAAAATTAAAAACGGACAGACGCTGGACTAACGTTGGCACGGAAGTGAGGAGAGTCACGTGATCACAAACCGGAATAATTCACCGGTGTTATTTGTTTGTAAATATTTGCCTAGCAACTTCCGACAGCATTCCAGAATATGAGGAAAAACCAATGGCTTTCGGAACACCGAGGTCAAATGGACATTATTAGGACGCAATTTCCTAAACATCCGCTCAAAAGAAATGAAAGCACTGTTTTTTAAGAAGAAAGAAATACGAGTTAATAACTTAAACATAAAAGAACAGTGTGGCCAAAATTTGATGAAATAAAATCTAACAAGCATAAGCTTAGATATATTTTCAGTCGGATTGTTTTCAAAAAAGTACAATTTTTGAACCGAATTGAAAGTGGGCTTGCTATTTAAATAATATGGATTGATTTAAATCCCCCACTGTACTACTTATAGCTATACTTGCGCCCTCTGTATAGCAAACAATGCCTTATCGGTGCCTGTTGGTCCCCCAATATCCCCTTTTTCTGATGTTAATTGAGAGCTGATTTGATGAGATAACCACTTGCCAGTGGCCTTGCAGGGAGGTCTAATCCCCCTGGCCAAACTAGTGCAGAGGGGCTTTAACATCCAGGGTTGCTTCATCGGTATTGATACTGCTGGGGAGGGGGTGTTTCACAAGGTTTCTTAGTCGGACTTAACTCTAAGTTCGACTTTAAAAATATATGTAGAGCCATTTGTAGTCTTAAAATTAAATATATTCAAAAGCAAAAATTATTTGACGTATTATTCAAAGTATTTTAGACTTTTCATAAATTCCATATCAAGAACATTAAATCTCCCATAGTAGAATAGTAGAAATAGACAATATGAATGATTTGAATCAACATGTTATGCCTTTTAAAATAATTTTTACAAAATATTATTAAAGATGCTAACGGCTTTCCATAATTGTTAAGTCCAACTTAGAGATAAGTTCAACTTAGGATCTTTGTGAAACACCCCCCTGGTCCTGTGGGCCATACAGTTATTATTACCACAGCATTGCGCGTTACCCATTAAATTAATGTAATCATGCTTGATACATTATGTTTTACTTGTTATCATTTTTGTTGTTAATAAACTCAAACTCAAACTCAAACTCAAATGAATTTATCTGTGTTGAGAGGACATTAATGTAGATAAAACACCTTTCCCAAGGGTGTGCTACCGAGTAACCCTCTACAGGATCGAATATTAGAATTCCCTCTTGAGAGTCAAGAGACTCCATTACTATGCCACTGGCCACCCGGTGTCTTTTCCTGTAAATAAATCAGTTTTTCCTATTTCCAAAACATGCACAGAAAATACAATTATCACAAGAAGCCCTGAATCATCATGAATTATGGACTTCAAACCAAATCTGTGGAAAGTCATAAATTTCAATTCTCAACAAAGATATTATTTGCTTTATTGTTACACTGTAAAAACAATTTTGATGGGCCTCTGCATAAATCAATAAAAACTATTTTTGTACGTGATATTTTTCTTCAACGTTTTGTTTACATTTGTTTTTTTATTTATTAGTGAGCAGTAAGAGAGACACTGGATCTCAGTTCCTTTGTTAAATATTTCATAAATCATCTTAAACACGATTTCAAGATATTATCTAGAACAATTCCATTACCCTTTTTAATTGCCCTTGGACATTATGTTTGGATTACGCATCATGTCAATGTCATTTGAACAGGGGGATGTTTCACAAAACTTATCATCGGTGACAAATGACAGTTGTTGTTATAAGCTACTGAAATCCTTGCTTCTGATTGGTTATCAGCAGATTTGGTACTGATTTTTGTCATTTGTCTTTGAAAAAAGGCTTTGTGAAACACCCCCCAGGTGACGCGCAAGGCTGTCGACGTTGCCTTCGGTTTATTTTTTAATTTCTGTTCTATTCTCTTCGGTTGTGTTTTGATGAACAGCTATGTGGTAACATTTTGTGTGAACGCAACCCTGTTTGGTGTGAGCACGGTCTTTCTGCTCCTGGCAGCAAGTAACATGGAGCTGTTGGTGGGGAAGGGATTCTCTTTCTGCTACTGGTTGCCTGTCATAGCAGCATTTCTCATACCTTTAACGTGGCTTGGTACGCCAAAAGACTTCTGGTGAGTACATCTGTTGTCTTCATATTTTCTTTTTCCCTCTCATCTTCCAATGTAAGGAAGATTAAAAAAATCGAAAAGTTACTATAGTTCATTTAAATTCATTCCCTATTTATTAATTTATCTTCCTCCTGTCTGTCTGTCTCTCTCTCTCTCTCTCTCTCTCTCTTAGTTTTTCATGCTTTTTCTACTCCTCACCTTCTCCTCCTCACCCTACCTCCATTTCCCTTTTTTGCTTACTCCTACCTCCTCAATCCCTACATAATCTTGTCAATCTTTTACATGATTAATTAAGCAATAACCATGATCCCGATTTCCTTTCTCTCCTTTTTTTTTGTTCTCTCTTTCTCTCTATTTTTCCTTCTCTCTCTCTCTCTCTCCCTCTCTCTCTCTTTCTCTCTCTCCCTCTCTCTCTCTCTTTCTCTCTCCTTCTCTCTCTCTTTCTCTCTTTTTCTCTCTCTATTTTCCCTCTCTTTTTCTCGTTCTACCCTTACACCCAATTCTATCAGGCCAGTTGCTATTGTTGCCATGGCTACGACAAGTATTGCCTGTGTCCTCCTCTTCATTCAAATCTTGACGGAAATCGATGACTACCCTGACACAAAGCACACGTCGCCCTCTTTCGTCAGTTTCTTTGTAGCTTTCGGGACTATCATCTTTGCGTTTGGTGGACACGCTGCTTTCCCGACGATACAACACGACATGAGGGACCCGAAATTATTCCCGAAGAGTATTTCCATAGCGTACTCAAGTAAGCTTTCATAGTTAACAGGATTAGATATATTTGTCTCAGATTCTAAACAAAGTCCTGGATTTAGTTCATGCTGTAATCATAATTATAAACCTTTAGGTCAGTCAGGAATCCCATGATTTTTACAAGCCGCTCGCCTGTCTGATTATCAAGATATTTATGATTGGAAATCGAAAATTAAAAAAAATCCTTTTCCCCAACGTTTTTTATTACACTACAGTCTATTAGGGAAAATGAGAACGGTAAAACCGGTCACTCAAAGATTTGTACTTTTTTGTGGCACTTCGTGATAATTTTGAAGCTCAATTGTTTTTAAGGGCTTCAATATTACACCATATTACAAACACTGATATTAAATGTAGGGCCATGCATCTCAGATTTGTAATACATGAAACATTGTCAAACAATGCCTTAAAAACACATTTGAGACCATCATATATGTGTTTCAATAGCCATGAATTATACAATGATTCGTTGTGATAAACTATTCCTGTTATAAATATTATATTAGTATTCAAAGCATCTTCCTCCATTTCTTTTAAGTATTTAGAACATCAAGAGCGAATTTGAGATCGAGCATTTCCAGGACTTTTTGATAGGCCTGTATCAATTTATTGTTTGTCTGTCGGTAGAAGGGGACAGAGCAAAAGAAAATTGTGAATCTTAAAAAAAAAAACATTTTAGAGAAGCGTCTTGGCAAAACATTACTCCAAATAAATTTAGTTTGGGGTTCAGAATTTCATGTCTGACTCATGAACAAGAAACCTCGTTGTGGAGCTTGAAAGTTAGCAATACAGGTCAACGTGTGGTATTTGAAAGTTCATATGGGAATATTCTTCAGAAGTGGTTAAAGAGATACTATGAAGTTGCTGCACTAGCGTACTGTTAATTGCACAGCGCCATCTCATGGTCAACTTGCAAACAGTGTGTAATCCAATACCTAATTCTCACTTCGCAGACTGAGGACTCGATTCGAGAACCAACATAGCAGTGGCGAGTTACTGGACAGTACTGCTACAGCTGACTTGAGATGGCGCTATAGGGAATTTATGCAGAACTGCTTCTAGTACAGTTTGGCTTTATTAAAAACATCTTTGCTTGATTTTCTTTCTCTTCAAACTTTTCAGTCATCATCTTGATGTACTTTCCCGTGGCGGCCGCTGGTTACTTCGTCTATGGTGATCTCTTCATCACGGAGAACACTGACTACATCCTCGATATCATCTACAAAGGAGTCATCCACAAGATCGTCACCGTCATGATTCTTCTCCATCTCGTCTTCGGTTTCGTCATCGTCATCAACCCGTTATGTCAGCAGATTGAGGAGGTGCTTCATATACCGATTCGTAAGGTTGATGAGGGGAACATACCTACTACTTTTACACCTTTTTCTATCTGTCTTTTCTGTCAATCAATCAACCCACCAGACAATCAATTAATCATTCATTCATCATGTTTATTGAAACATTTGATCACTCAATTAGTCAGTCAATCAATCAATCATTCAGTCAATATTGATCAATCAGTGAAATCGCAAATCAACGTTCATTGATTAATTGGCTCATTCAAGCACTCAATTAATTAGTCAATCAATCAATGATTCGGTCAATTAATGTCATCTGACAAGACATTGATCTTCATTTGCCACACTCAACCCAGGTGATGTAAATGGGTACCTGGCAGGAATTAATTCCTTGAAATGCTAGAGCGCCGTAATGGCAGCACAGCTAAAGCCGGGGTAATAATTTCCAAGTTTGGAAGCGCTTAGTGACTTAATTGTAATTCGCGCTATCAATCAACAAATCCTTTTTTGTTTTTATCCAAATAATCCAATCCAGGAATTTGTAAAGCACCAAAATCTAGCTGATGAGACAGAGAACTCTGAATATGCCGTTCATGATTTACCTGTGAAATACTGGGGTAGTAAATAGTTGTAAGCAATTTGAAATAGGTATGTCTTTAGGTCAGATTTGAAATTGGAAAGCAGGTAAATAGTTAATCGGTCAAGTGACCAATTACTCAAACAATGAATCAATTAAATCAATCAATCTATCAGAGGAGGCGCGATAGCTCAGTTGGTAGAGCAGTGGTCTCGTAATCCGGCGACCAGGGCTCGAAACCATGCAAGTCGATGCGCTCGTGCCCTTTGGTAAGGCATTAATCCTCATTACCAGGTCCCTCGGAGAGACCTAAAGCCGTCGGGCCTCTGGTGTTTACTATTAAGGTAAAATAACCACCACTAAACCACTACACCATTAAACCACTAAATCAACGTCTCTTTCCTCACCTCCCTGACAGATTTCAGCTGGAAGCGGATGGTTCTTCGCACCCTTGTAGTCGGACTGGTCCTCTTCACAGGGGAGACCATACCCCATTTCGGAGCTATCCTCTCCCTGGTAGGGGGGTCCACCGTCACCTTCCTCACCTTCGTCTTCCCTTCTCTCTTCTACCTCCGACTTCTGTATGATGGGTCTCAGACAGATTCAGCTCTGCAGAGCAGTATAAGGTGAGAGAAAATTTATATTGGTTTCAATCCAGTGGTTATTTGAATAGTGGTTGTTTTTTCTTGTTGTTTTGGGGGCAACCAGTCAGAATTTACTATTTTCGCCACAAATATTCTTTGTAATGGTATAAAATAATGCCTCTGAAGTTAGGCGAGGAGGCGGGTATCGATAGATGTATTTAAAATTAACTTATTCTTTCCTAGATCTTCCCGTGTTACAATCTGATTTGGAAATTTCAGAGTGTCAATTCAAGATTAAAAACTTTAACGAATAAAAAGGCGTGAATTTCAAACAATGGGATATCACAGTCACCCCCAATCGAGATAATCGTAGTTTAGTCAGTTCTCCTTTTTGATCATCTCTGTAACAGGCCTATGGTTAGGGTCCATGGTTCAACACTCTGGACTTTTTCCCCTTTCTCTATCAGTATCTGCCCAAGGTTATATCCATCTCTTCATGCTGCACGTGCATCCGTTTCCATATTTAAAATCATGCATATTTTCACCAGTTCTCCAGCTCTGTCTATCTTTCTCCTCTCTCTCTCTCTCTCTCTCTCTCTCTCTTTCTCTCTCTCTCTCTCTCTCTCTCTCTCTCTCTCTCTCTCTCTTTCTATTTATCCTCCTCAGTTACTCCCTCCCCCTTTTTTCTCTCTTATAACTCCGTATGTCCTTTCCTTTACAGACGTCTTGCCTTTCATCACAAAGTCATTCACGCTGAAATCATACTGGTCGGCGTTATCGGGGGCGTGGCTTCAACGTACTCCGTCGTTTATTCTATAGCGAGTGGCCAATCATCGTTCACCGTGCCCTGCTACGTCAACATCACCGCTGCACATCTCTAAACTTTTCAGCCAATCAGGCAACGTTCCCCGTCCCTCCCTTTGTTACATCAGTCGTACAAGCAGCTGCTTTGTTTCAATCTATGTATTTCATACGATAATTAATTACTAGAAGAAAGTTATATTATGACCGTGTCGTTAATTATTTAACAACTTCATACAAATACCCATCATACATTGATATTTATTTTTGTACTATCAATAATACCATTTGTATTTTCTTTCTAATGTATGCTCCTCATATTAAAAGCAGGTATATATTATCGTAATTTTTAGCATAAGAAGGAAATGAGAAGCAAGGAGAAGAGAAAAGAAATGGTTACAAACCCTGGCCCATAGGTAACCATTTCTTTCCTCTCCTCCTTGCCTGTTATTTCCTTCTCTTTCTCTATTTTTTTAAAAGATAGTTGTATTTACATGTACTATGTTCACTTTGTATATCATGTGAATTTCTGATTTGTATGGCCAAATAAATAATAATAATAATGTTACAGACATTTCTTTCGTGATTTCAATCAAAATTAGCGGACATTATTGGGAAATATATGTAATGTGTTGGTGTATGGGGTATTGTAAAAAAATAAAATAAAAAATAACAGTTTAAAAGAAAGCATAGAGATAACATTTACAATATGGTTATCATATAATCAATGTTGACAGGTGAACAAATGTTTATCAGAATAAAAGACACGAAGATATAATGTAGATATTTATAGATATGGTGTAGATCGACACCTCCTTTTTGTATATATATGGGGGAGTTTTGTCATCTGATACGTCAAATATAGCTTCATGCTTAGAGCCGTTTTTTGTATGTATTTACAGCTCTTTCAAATATAACGTCTTTTCTAATAAATCTTATTAGTAATCTATCATGAATTAAGTTAATTTGTTAAAGTGTGTAAAATGGGTGATATTGTGCTTATAATTATGATGAAATATAGTTGACGTGGATATGTTTACTGTACACGAACTCTTATAAAAAATGATAACGTGACAAATCAAATATTCGTTTAATCGTTTTATTAAGTCAACAAGGTTTGTATGTAATTCATCGCGTATTTACATATCATACAATCAATTAATAAGGAAATATAATTACATGACTGTCTTCTTTCAGATAATGGTAATCATAATCTGAAACAAAAATAATACTCTACAATATTGCACACATGAGCGTTTTGGGCAAGTATTGACAGATACATTTTAAAGGAATAGAAACTTTGTTATGCTAAATGTACACTTCGTTCTTAAGATGTTTATCATGCCAATATGCATTATTCCAAAAGATTATTTCAGATCATTTTGAAATATGGAATTCATCTCTTAGTCTCATATTTAACAGAGTAAGATAAAAACTGCTTCAATGATTGCATGACCTCCAGGGGGTGTTTCACAAAACTTGCCATCAGTGACAAATGACTGTTTTTGTTATAAGCTACTGAAATCCTTGCTTCTGGTTGGTCATCAGCAGATTTGTCACTGATTTTAGTCATTTGTCATTGAAAACAGGCCTTGTGAAACGCCCTCCATGTCTCATGTTCCCTATCAACGTTTGTCTTTTTCTTAGTAAATAAATCTTTACTTTGGAAATTTGGTGTTTTTGAGAACGGCGAATTGCACATTTAGGGTTATATAATAATATATTCCAATCTACGCTTCACAATTTTGTTTTAAATAATATGTAGAGCAAACTGTGGTGAATAATAGCAACAAAACAATTATACGATGTGTTTTTCCCTTTGACTTATTCCTGGGATAAACTCTTCGGTAATTCATGTTGGTCACTGACACTATCAAGTGAGCACCCTTATACGCATACATTGTTAATGCCTTCATATCGTAAAACATATTTTACGCTCTTTTAGAGTAGGGGCGGGGGTTCTTCATTGATGTTCATCCCGGATACACCTATGTCTCTGAATGTTAGTCTGCAGATCCGAATATGTGGCGTATGCTATGACTGCCTTGTGGTTAACAAAATATTTCTCTCAGTTTGCATATTCGTCTCTACATTGACACATTTCCTGATCAGGATCACTGCTCCTAGCTCCACAAGTGATGTCGTGACCTCCTGTCATCTGAACTTTGACCTCTGACCTCTCTTGAATATAGTTGTATAATTGCACCGGCCTAATGAGGTTGACGAGTACTTGCACCGCTCCTCGCGGAGGGTCGCCTGTATTAATGCACTGGCCTAACGAACTTGGAGAGTCCTTGCACTTTCTCTCACGGAGGTTCGACGTCTAGCATGTGAATTGTTTAGTAGTAGTATCCACCCTGGGCCTCTTGCGGATAGTCATAACCATTCGCCTGCAGAAAAAAAAAGACAAAATATTCTTGTTAATACAAAGAAAAGACCTCACTATATCCTTGCAACAATTAAAACATACATCTGTCATTTTATTTCTATCAAAATATTTAATTTCATTTCGTGTCGATGTTCAAGTGTCGTGATCGAGTGGATATGTCACCGGACTATGGATCACAAGGTCCGCGGTTCGAGTCCCGCCGCGGCACCAATGCCCTTTGGCAAGACATTAATCTACATTTGCCAAACATAACCCAGGTGAGGTAAATGGGTACCTGGTAGGATTATTCCTCGAAATGCACTGTGCGCTGATAACGGCTGCCGGAGCTAAAGCTAGGGTAATAAGTTTCCAAAGCTCTTAGGAAGCGCATAGAGATGTTATTTCATAATGTATTATGCGCCAACAAGAACTGAAAACATGGAAAGTGGGAATACTTGATTATGGTGCTCAATGAAATTTACTTTAAAACGAAATTCATATACACGTGTATATATATAATAGGCGTGAAGAAAAAGGTCTAGGAACGTGAGACGCAGCTGTACTTTACAAGTTTATTACGAGCTTTTGGCTTGTGAGGCCTTCTTCAGGAATAATTACTCCGTTGAATTGATATCAAGCATAATCCAATGGGGGCAAGAAACTCACAATGGAAAGGAAATTTGACAGTGCAACAAACACTTTGAACAGAAACATACAGTATAGGCCATGCAAAATAAATGGTTTATTCAGAACATGAACTACGAATGGTACTGATATTTCTTATTCACGAGTCAGGTTATGGTGGTGGTTCTTGTGGTGATGGTGGGTCGGGTGTGGGGGAAGGGTGATAATAGTGCCGGTGTTGTTGATGGTGATGATGATGATGATGATGATGATGATAATGATAATAATGATGGTAAGGATGATTATGACAATGATGATGCTGATCACGGTGATGACGGTGGTGGTGGGGTGGTCATTATGATACCAGTCGTGATGGTGGTGGTGGTTGTATAATGATAATGAGATTGAGTTTAATAGTAGGTACGACTGGTAAAAGATTATGTCTTCTTTTACATTCTGCCCAAAAGAGCAATCACCGTGATAAAACATTTAACAGGTCTTGACAAACAAAATTATCTCGAGATACAGTGCTTTGGAAACACCGGTGGGCTATCATTCAAAATACTAATCATGTCTCAGTGAATTCGTTGCGACCGGTAATTGATCAGTGAATTACCAAGACTCGATGTTGATGAATACCGCAATCCCCTCATCATAGAACCTCAACAAAAATATGAAGAGTCCAGAAAGGGTTTTGAAAATTATGAAGGGATAAAAAGAAAAATATCTTCAAGCTATTTTCTATTGTTTTTTCTCACTGCTACTTTAAACATTTTACCCAGTCGTTTCAAATCAAACCAGTACACGTGTTAGTTGGTTGGTCTGATTGCATGTCCTCTGGCAACCACGGGGGAAGTGTTAACCACAGATTTTCTCCTCCCGATTTTAACACTTTAAGGCATAGATAACGAGAGAACGGGAGATGGACTCGACGCCACCGTTACCATTTCGTGCACGCTTGCATCGCCGTATCTAAAACATGCCCACGAGCGCTGCAGGTTGCTTACAAGCGGGACGTCGCTATGCCTTCTCCCCTAAACTCCCGGGACATTGACGTTGACAGATCGCTGTGGTACCTACCGATCAGCGGTGTGAGTGTATACGCGGGAAGCCTCGATCGCGACGATCATAAAGAACTTGATTGAGCATTTGATAGTTTGCTAATTTGCGTCTTTAACATCCTTTCAATTAATGAAAACCAAGCCGACTAGCAAAAGGCTTGTCGGAAACCTATTAGAAGAGTTGGAAAGAAAATAATTTTAATGAATTTTTTAACATCCAATGTGCTTGGATATGAAGGAAGACTGATCGGTTTATTCATTGTGCATGAAAACGATTGGTGGCCTATACATACTCCAATCATTAGGCCTTTTGTCACATTGTTTAATTCAAGATCGTTTCGATTTACACATTTTTGTTATAATTGACGAACAGAAATCGGGTAACTCTGTTATCATGGCTACATGATGTAAAACATGTGATGCATTCCGGTGATTCGGGTTCAAATCAAGTTAAAGAATCATGATAATTGTAATAAAAGGCATGAGTTAAAAAAGAATGTGGTTATTTATCATGAAATTCTAATAATGAAAATGAAACATCAGTGCAGAAATTATGAGTTATTTGTGTTATATGTTGGGATTACGACAATTGGTGAAAAGTGCTGGACACGTATTTATTTATGATGTTAAAAAAGAAGTCCCGATCCACTCTCCTCCCCCACCCCATTTTTTACAATTTTACGTACGCATATTCCAGCAATCAAAAACTCATAATGGGTTTTCAGTTGGTATCTAACAATTTCCTTATCTCATCAGTTATAGTTTTCATGACAAACATGAACTATAATGTTTTAAATGTATTAGATTTCACGACTGTAACATGTTTCCTCACTCGTTTTGTTCGCTCGCAAACTGAAAAGACGATGTTCAGGCAAGAGAGGAACCAACCTTTCCTCCTCCCCCTCATTTCTTCCATGAAATTGCGCCCTTCTAAAGTTAATGAACAGTATAATTAGGAAAATCTTGATATGTAAAGTTTGCTGATGGTTTAATCAACTTTTTTCTCATTGTCCTTGGTATTTATTCATATTTAATCATAACAAAAAATAAAATGCGCTTGTAGATAGTAGGCATTCGGCCATGCCAGGAGAAGAAAATAATTCCTCTTTTACTCCTAAATTGAATGAATGTGTGCAAATATACAGAAGTTAATTTGCGTATGAGATTAAGTAAAAACGGCAAATAACTTGTTATCATAAGGACACGTGTTATGCGCGCAATGGCACGCGCGGAACATTCTCCTTCCGTTTGTCTTCTTCGCTGTTCCCGTCTTTTTTTCTTTTCATCGTGATAATCGGTCCCCTGCGAACAATTGTTTTGCAATTCACACTCGCGCGAGAAAATGAATAGTGACGCATTATTGTGAAGGGGTTTTATTTGGGGGGTTTCAGTTTGACCATGGATATGATAACATTAGGGCACAAAGAGGGAGGGGTCGGATTATGGTTATTAATACCCTTGGACAATCAGTGTTTACGAAGTGGAGATGATTACATGTACAAGCTTTAGCAATTTTATCTTCAAATATCGCATCCGATCAGTTCGTTCACCTTGCCCTATTTTATGGAATAGAGAATTCGGGTGAAAGCTTTGAGGGGCAAGTGGATGTTTGAAAGGCTGGGAGCAAGTGGCAGGACAACATAAAAGGATTAAACGGAAGGCATGATTAAATCTAAAGTTTTGTACTCTACAGAGTATTAAAGAAACATCAAAAAATTACTGTATGGGAATTAGAGGAGGAACCCAGAATTGAAGGGAGGAATGAAGGTCGGGGGATGTCTTGAATAAAAATAAACCTGTTAAGAGCCAGAAAAGGATTAAAATGATTAAAAAATGAATGAGAGACAAACACAGATAAATGAGCGACTTTTATCATAGTTTCTATTTCAAAAGCTAAAAATTGAGAGCTTATAATATGACATAAATATTACACAACACTAAGTAATAATAATCGTTCACTGCGGCATTTAAACAAGTTGTCATTGTATCATGTAACATTTATATTCAAAACCAGAGTTGTTTTTCGTTCTGTAAGTATTCTGTCATCACAACGTTCGAAATGTACCTTATTGTGACGTCACATTACCATTTTGTTCAATATTACCTGTTTTGAAGGCGAATGCTCACTAAACAGAAATGGCGTCAATGTGGAGACGCCATTTTGTGTAGGCGACTTCTATGGCGTTTATGTAAGTAAGAGATGGAGTTGACTGTATATAGATTTTACGTTAACGCTTTGCTACTTTTATGTTATCAAACCTATTATTTGTGTCATTATTTTGATATACGCAGGAGAAATAAACTACAAATATTTCTAGATATATTAAATAAATTAATGTGTCAGATGAATACAACAACTGTAGTGGTATCATCATTACACACACACAAAAATATCTTGTATATATGTAGGCCGGGCCTTAAATGAAAAATCATCCTTCCAAAGATATTTTGTTAATTTGCCTAAACTTAACGATTGTTTTTTGTCACATGCGTTCATTAGACATAATATACACTGATTCGATACTTTATTCGATGCATATAATAAATCAGTACATCGATTAGAATTACGATGTCACTTTTTGTATTCATTTCTGACAACAAAATTGAATGTGCATATTCATAATTTTTCGTTTAGGTCATAAACAAAGAGGTGGGCTTTTATAAATTAATTTAATTTCTCATGGTATATCTCTTTTAAATATGTAATAATTATTTGTTTTCCTCACACGCCCTGTGATATAGTATGGTTCAGAACAGCAATGTTCTTTTCGTTCTTACTTGAACCTTTGCAAAATCACGTGATTCTACAAGTCTGGAATGCGATATGATGAAAATCACTTATTATTCCCCAAACGATTGTCAAAATCTCATCGTAGCGATCATCTCGCTTTATAACGCGAATTACAAGAAATCTATCAGATGAATTGTAATTCTAAACCAATGTGATTTAATTACACTTGTCAAATTTCTCGTAATAGGAGAAAAACATGACATCTGAATCGAATCTCGTTTTTTGTCCAAAGAGGATCAAATCAAGATTTCGCCAGGGGCAAATGTTCCTTCTTTTGTTTGCTTGGAAACCGTCCAACAGTCCTGTATCACCGGCTTTTTTGTTTACTTCTCGTTTTTCTTCCTCGAATTGGAGTCTGCAGCTCGCCATTTAAACCAGCGGCGTTCGGTATAGTGACTACCGGGCCAGAAGAGGGGCTCATGAAGGCAAGCGGCTGGTGCACAATAAGACCCACTCACGCGAACTTGCATTCCCCTTCCCCCCTTTCGGCCGCTGCAATCATTTTGTTATTTTTACGCATTGTATGGCCCATGTAGCCCGGACAAG